TCTGTGGTTTAAGGCGGTTCCTTGGTCTTGTGAGTCTGTTACCCAACCATTTGGGCTGGACGGTAGAGCGACGGTCTCGCTTCATGCAGGTCGGCGTTCAATTCCCGACCGTCCAAGTGGATGGGCACCATTCCTTCCCCTCCGTCCCATCCCAATTCCTAAGCCTGACCCCTTCCCAGTGCTATATAGTCGTAATGGCTTGGCGCTGTCTCCTGATAGTTGATAATAATAATAATGGTTTTCGTGGCCTGAAGGTCCAGGCTGGCTGGTTATCTTGAGGTTATCTTGAGATGATTTCGGGGCTTTTAGTGTCCCAGCGGCCCGGTCCTCGACCAGGCCTCCAACCCCAGGAAGCAGCCCGTGACAGCTGACTAACACCCAGGCACCTATTTTACTGCTAGGTAACAGGGGGCATAGGGTGAAAGAAACTGCCCATTGTTTCTCGCCGGCGCCTGGGATCGAACCCAGGACCACAGGATCACAAGTCCAGCGTGCTGTCCGCTCGGCCGACTCCGCTAACTGGGATTGAAACTTGTCCAGTTGTGTGTTCTCACTCTCACTCACCGGTCATTCACCATCGCCGCTGAGGACACAATCAATATAGTGAACATGTGAACAAGCCTGAACGGTCTCCAGGCATATATGACACTGAAAACTCACACCCCAGAAGTGACACTCGAACCCATACTGCTAGAAGCAATGCAACTGATGTACAGGATCCCTTAACCACTCGACCAACACGACCGGACAAAAGAGAGATGGTAGTCGAGGCTATTTCCATCCCCCCCGCCGGCACTCGGTTGGTAATCTTGGGCATGGTATAGTGAACATCTTCAATGAACAAGTCCCAATAAATGTTTCTGATAATTTCGGTATTTTATAGCAGTTCATTTTGTAACAATTTTGTTCATTTTAATTTTTTTTAAGAACCATTAACGACCATGATGAGTGTTCTTATATATTTAAACCGATTATGTTTTTTTAAAGTAAACGACCAAAAATGATTTTCGGGAGTTATAATGGATTTTGTGAGGCCAATCCTTCTTAATACGTCGCGTTTCTTACGGAGTCTACCAATCCTTTAAAAATGCAATATATTTAAATTTTTTTTTAAAAACGTCGTAATGTTAACATTTACTGAACGAAGACCACGATGGAGTTCTTGTAAGTTTTTAGAATTGGTTTTACCGCGGTATGCCTCAGGTAGTTACAGTTTCTCCCGCTTCCTGAGATGGCGCTGTACTGGAGCCTTTCCTTGTGAAGACTACTCATAGCCCAGTGGATAGAGCTTGGGCTTCACACGCGTGGGGAGGGTCCAGGGTTCGAGTCCCTAAGTATCTAAATAAAGGGATATATATATTAACGTTCCATTTAGCCGGAATTAGGTGACGGGGGCCATGCTGTCATGGTTGTTGTTTTAGATTCCTTACGTGGACCAAAACGTTCCAAGCAGCACGGGCTATGGTGATCCCCGATTTTGTGAAGGTATACCGCCTGCATCACAAGCACTGTAGTTATCATTTTTATCTCGTAGTTCTTTTTACCAAATGTCAAATTTAAAATTTGTAATACAATTTTGAAATTTTATTTCAAAATCTTAAATCTTTTGTTATTTCTATATAGCGTTCTTGGATGGGACCTTCGAGACTGCCTTTGTGATCTTGATGGTGATGAGCTGTTTTCTGATAACCTTCTGGGTCTGGGTCGTGCCTGGGGTCGTCCCTGGGGGTCGTGCCTGGGGTCGTCTCTGGGGGTCGTGCCTGGGGGTCGTGCCTGGGGTCGTCTCTGGGGGTCGTGCCTGGGGGTCGTCCCTGGGGTCGTGCCTAGGGGTCGTCCCTGGGGTCGTGCCTAGGGGTCGTGCCTGGGGTCGTCTCTGGGGGTCGTCTCTGAGGGTTGTGCCTAGGGGTCGTGCCTGGGGGTCGTCCCTGGGGTCGTCCTGGGGGTCGTCTCTGGGGGTTGTGCCTAGGGGTCGTGCCTGGGGTCGTGCCTGGGGTCGTCCCTGGGGGTCGTGCCTGGGGTCGTCTCTGGGGGTCGTGCCTGGGGGTCGTCCCTGGGGTCGTGCCTAGGGGTCGTCCCTGGGGTCGTACCTGGGGTCGTCTCTGGGGGTCGTCTCTGAGGGTTGTGCCTAGGGGTCGTGCCTGGGGGTCGTCCCTGGGGTCGTCCCTGGGGGTCGTCTCTGGGGGTTGTGCCTAGGGGTCGTGCCTGGGGTCGTCCCTGGGGTCGTCCCTGGGGGTCGTGCCTAGGGGTCGTCCCTGGGGGTTGTGCCTAGGGGTCATGCCTGGGGTCGTCTCTGGGGGTCGTGCCTGGGGGTCGTCCCTGGGGTCGTGCCTGGGGGTCGTCCCTGGGGTCGTGCCTGGGGGTCGTCCCTGGGGATCGTCCCTGGGGGTCGTGCCTGGGGGTCGTGCCTGGGGTCGTGCCTGGGGTCGTGCCTGGGGTCGTCCCTGGGGTCGTGCCTGGGGGTCGTCCCTGGGGTCGTGCCTGGGGGTCGTGCCTGGGGGTCGTCCCTGGGGGTCGTCCCTGGGGTCGTCCAGTGACCGCCCGTGTCCCCCTACTACCATTTCTCATTTTAAATCATTAATCATTTGCTCATTCTGTTAATTCCCTCAATATCTTATACGTTGTTATCATGTCTCCTGTTTTTTGTCTCCTGTTCACCTCTCCAGCGTTGTAAGGTTGAATTCTTTAGCGGCTGCATATTCAACTGCTGTTCTGACATAGGTTGTATATAATGTTCCGAACGCCTCAAGTTTGGACTTCATAAATGACCATTACTAGTGAAGGTGGCGGAGCTGCTTGAGGCTGCGTTGATGCTGTTGGTGAGGGGACGATCTGGATGCTATCTGGCTGAGATAAAAGCCAGCATCCGGCACGAGATGTCGAGGTCTGGGGCGCTACTCTTGACATCCTTCACAAAAGTCTCAGATACCCACCCAACACCTCGTATCTTGAGTTTCTCTGCACGACGACATGGTTTCGAAAAGTATATATTTATATATATATAACTGAAAACTCGCACCCCCAGAAGTGATTCGAACCCATACTGCCAGGAGCACTCTGGTTAAGGTGTCCTGTACACCAGTTACAGTGTGTTCCTGGCAGTATGGGTTCGAGTCACTTCTGGGGTGGGAGTTTTCAGTTGCATATATGTCTGGGGACCATTCAGGCTTGTTCGGATGGGGTCGCAACCAAGACGATGTGTATATATATACCAACCCGTTCTCGCAAATTCGTAAAGTCAATATTGACTTATTAACTACGTGCATAGGTGATATACTAAACATAATAGATACCCTTAAAAAGATTCATAGAAAACACCGACCTTACCTAACCTTGTTAGTATCTTAAGATAAACATCTTATAGCTTCGTAATTAGAATTATTACTTAACCTATACCTATTATAGGTTAGGTAATAATTGTAATTACGAAGCAATAAGATGCTTATCTTAACATACTAAGTAGGTTAGGTAAGGTCGGTGTTTTCTATGAATCTTTTTAAGGGTATCTATTATGTTAAGTATGTCACCTATGCACATATTTAATAAGTCAATATTGACTTATTCAATTTGCGAGAACGGATTGATATATACACACCGTCTTGGTTTCTTCAACTTCAAAAGACTTGTAGGCACTTTGGAGGTTTGTTTTGTGTATGGAGGATACTGATACATGCCGCTGGAGAACTGGGCCACGAAGCAGTTTGTAATTAGCGAAAAAAAACGTTGAAAACAAAATCTTTTACAGTGAATACATTGGGTTACTACGTCTGGTAATTATTATATACACACGGGAATAATATACATTTGAGAATACGTACATTTAAGTGTATTTTAAGTGTTCGCAAGTGAATACCAATTACAAGACTTTTTGCTTTTTAGCAAGTGAACGTTAAAAAGTGAACCTTTTTTTTTATAAGTGAACTGTGATAAGAGCCCTGATGCGTTGAGTGGGCGTGCGTGGGCGTAGTGCACGGGCGTGAGGAAGAGAAGGGCGTGATAAGGAAGGGGGTGATAAGGAAGGAAGGGGTGGAGTCCCCCCCCCCCCAATCTATAAGACAGCCATCATGGAGTACAACATCATGGATCTGCTGGAGGGCAAGGTAGTATGTTTATGTTGTCTGTTTATGTGCGTGTGTTTGTCACTTGTGTTTATGTGGGTGTGTTTGTCGCTTGTGTTTATGTGGGTGTGTTTGTCGCCTGTGTTTGTGGTGTGTTTGTCGCTTGTGTTTGTGGTGTGTTTGTCGCTTGTGTTTGTGGTGTGTTTGTCGCTTGTGTTTGTGGTGTGTTTGTCGCTTGTGTTTATGTGCGTGTGTTTGTCGCTTGTGTTTGTGGTGTGTTTGTCGCTTGTGTTTGTGGTGTGTTTGTCGCTTGTGTTTATGTGGGTGTGTTTGTCGCTTGTGTTTGTGGTGTGTTTGTCGCTTGTGTTTGTGGTGTGTTTGTCGCTTGTGTTTGTGTATTTGTCACTTGTGTTTATGTGGGTGTGTTTGTCACTTGTGTTTATGTGGGTGTGTTTGTCGCTTGTGTTTATGTGGGTGTGTTTGTCGCTTGTGTTTATGTGGGTGTGTTTGTCGCTTGTGTTTATGTGGGTGTGTTTGTTGCCTGTGTTTATGTGGGTGTGTTTGTCGCCTGTGTTTATGTGGGTGTGTTTGTTGCCTGTGTTTATGTGGGTGTGTTTGTCACTTGTGTTTATGTGGGTGTGTTTGTTGCCTGTGTTTATGTGGGTGTGTTTGTCGCTTGTGTTTATGTGGGTGTGTTTGTTGCCTGTGTTTATGTGGGTGTGTTTGTCGCTTGTGTTTATGTGGGTGTGTTTGTTGCCTGTGTTTATGTGGGTGTGTTTGTCGCTTGTGTTTATGTGGGTGTGTTTGTTGCCTGTGTTTATGTGGGTGTGTTTGTCGCCTGTGTTTATGTGGGTGTGTTTGTCGCTTGTGTTTATGTGGGTGTGTTTGTTGCCTGTGTTTATGTGGGTGTGTTTGTTGCCTGTGTTTATGTGGGTGTGTTTGTTGCCTGTGTTTATGTGGGGGTGTTTGTCGCTTGTGTTTATGCGGGTGTTTTTGTCGCTTGTGTTTATGTGGGTGTGTTTGTTACCTGTGTTTGTGGTGTGTTTGTCGCTTGTGTTTATGTGGGTGTGTTTGTCGCCTGTGTTTATGGGCAACATTTACTCCAAATATTTACGTGCAATGTTTGTGTGTGATGTTTACGAAATGTTTGACCACCGTTTACATACCGTTCTAACATCGGTGTTTTTGTATCAGTGCCGGGCAGCCGGTGCCACGGAGAGCCCAGGTTCGAATCCTTGAGGCCTTATTAGAGTTTAGAGCGATGCCATGGCTTGGACCATACTTAATATGTCGATCACATACGCTAGGCCTTAATAAGCCGTGAATGTTGCTAGCAATACTGCAACATTAACCTAAGCTAGCGGAGGCAACACAGGTGTACTCACCTAGTTGTGCTTGTGGGGGTTGAGCTCTGGCTCTTTGGTCCCGCCTCTCAACTGATGTACAGGTTCCTGAGCCTACTGAGCTCTCTCATGTCTAGATTTGAAACTGTGTATGGAGTCAGCCTCCACCACATCACTGCCTAATGCATTCCATTTGTTAACTACTCTGATACCTGACAACTGGGTGGACAGCGCTTCGGATTCGTAGTCCTGAGGTTCCGGGTTCGATCCCCGGTGGAGGCAGAGACAAAATGTTTCTTTCACCCTGATGCCCTAGTTACCTAGCAGTAAATAGGTACCTGGGAGTTAGACAGCTGCTACGGGCTGCTTCCTGGGGGTGGAAGCCTGGTCGAGGACCGGGCCGCGGGGACACTAAAGCTCCGAAATCATCTCAAGATAACCTCAAGATGACACTGAAAAAGTTCTTTCTAATGTCCCTGTGGCTCATTTGGGTACTCAGCTTCCCCCTGTGTCCCCTTGTGCGTGTATCACCCTTTTTAAATAATCCATCCTTATCTACACTGTCAATTCCTCTGAAAATTTTGTATGCAGTGATCATGTCTCCCCGAGCTCTTTTGCCTTCCAGCGACGTAAGGTGCAGTTCACGCAGCCTTTTTTCGTAACTCATGCCTCTTAGTTCTGGGACTAGCCTAGTGACATACCTCTGACATTTTTTCCAGCTTCGTCTTGTGCTTGACAAGGTACGGGCTCCATCCTGGGGCTGCATACTCTAGGATTAGTCTTACATATGTGGTATACAAGGTTCTGAATGATTCCTTACACAGGTTCCTGAAAGCAGTTCTGATGTTAGCCAGCCTTGCATACGCCGCAGATGTTATAATTTTGATGTGGGCTTCAGGAGACAGGTTTGGTGTAATACCAATTCCTAGGTATTTTTCTCTGTCCGATTCATGAAGGACTTCATCTCCCATTCGGTATCCTGTGTCTGGCCTCCTATTTCCACCGCCTAGTTTCATTACCTTACATTTACTCGGGTTGAACTGTAATAGCCATTTGTTGGACCATTCATTCAGTTTGTCTAGGTCATCTTGTAGCCTACTACTGTCTTCCTCTATCTTAATCCTCCTCGTAATTTTTGCATCAGCAGCAAACAGTGAGAGTCCCAGCTGTGTCTGGGTACAAGTGACAGGATGAACAACCCAGCGGGTTTTCTTCCTTTTGGGGAGTGTTGTACTTGTTGCTATGGCGGTGTGTCCACTCACAGGATGAGTGGCGCTGCCCAAAAAACTCGCCCCTCGGGGCAAAATTAAAAAAAAAGAAAAGAAAAAAGTGAGAGGAACGAGTCTATACCCTGTGGGAGATCATTTACATATATCAGAAACAGTATAGGTCCAAGGACTGACCCCTGCGGGACTCCGCTTGTGACGTCTCGCCACTGCACTCCCCCCATCACACACCTCTAAACACAAGTATATACTAACTTCAAACATTCTGGAGAAACATCTCAAAATATGTTACGCTTCTCATAAGGAAAACAATAGTTAATGAATGACATTGCACAACTGGTGACAATGGCGCCCACTCAGACATTCTCGTTCATCTCACGTCTAATACATGTCCCGGTCGTACAGCCGCGTACCACTCACCACCTCTCATACAACACAATACAATAACCTCTCATACAACACAATACAGTAACCTCTCATACAACACAATACAGTAACCTCTCATACAACACAATACAATAACCTCTCATACAACACAATACAGTAACCTCTCATACAACACAATACAGTAACCTCTCATACAACAGAATACAGTAACCTCTCGTACAACAATACAATAACCTCTCATACAACATAATACAATAACCTCTCATACAACATAATACAATAACCTCTCATATAGCACAATACAATAACCTCTCATATAGCACAATACAATAACCTCTCATATAGCACAATACAATAACCTCTCATATAGCACAATACAATAGGGGGAATACAATGGCATCACATCACACACACATAATCAGAATATATATACAGTACCGCTGCACTGATGACAGTAAATGGTAATTGTGTAGTGTATAACAAAGTGAG